TACAAGAAACAGGAAAAACAAGATTTAATGTTCAAGAAAGTCCAGGACAGCAAAGGAAAGTACTGTCATACCTGTCCTCAGAGATGTTTGGCAAAAATATACAATACAGCAACATCCTCTCTTTAGCCAGTTTATTCTGACAGGCCTCATGACTTCAGAGGTGTTGGTGAATTCAAGCATGGAAACATTTTCCAGGTCAAATATTTGTTTCACAGTACTACACAATACAAGTCTACGCTTTTCATGTGCTTGTTAACAATGATGATTCTTTGTGAATGAATTATTTTGTTGTTTTTATTCCTTTGCTGATGGCTGATCAATGTGTTTCTTGCCCTTTGATATTGTTTTATGTGTTTTATGTGTAATGGAGTCCCTCTTTTTGCATCCCATTGCACAATGAGCAGTTACAGGGATGGATGTCAGGGTGGATTACACAATAGAGATGTTTTCTTAACCTCAAAAAGCTCCCAAACTAGCATTGTCCAACATTATTGAAGATTGATTTGGAACCCAGTGCTTAAAAAAGCCAGCCTGACATTGAGGGCTAATATTTTATGACACCCACCCCTGGCCTGTGTCTGTAGAGAAGCTGAAGGTCAAACTGAGACTTTGGAATTAGAGCCTGACTCTGACTGTCTCTGTGCTGCAGGGAGAAGTGGTGTCATATGACCCAGGAGGAGAGGGACGACAGCTCCAAAATCGATGAGAACATCGCCTTCGGCCAACTTGGGTGAGGAAGCCGTCACAGTAGTGTCTATCAACTAACGCAATGCAATAAGACACATAGGCTTAAGTTTACACTGCATGCAAAAGTAGCCTTCCAAATCCAAATCTATTCTTTTTTTGCTGATATGTGTATGTATGAGTTAATAGAGAATCAGATCATTTCCTGTTCTGATTTGGGTGACTTTCATATGTGGTTCAAACTTTCCAAATGGACTCTATTATTAAAAATATACTCAAACTAGGGCTGCATGATTAAGTAAAATCACTATATGGCCAAGTGCAATATCCAATGGCCAATCCAGTTTGTTTGATAAAAGGTAAAATGTGACAGAGATCAATATAATGAAGCACTGTAGTTCTGCAGAGATGCCCTGGCCTACAAAGCTAGTTCTGTAAAAGAACATGGTTGTTTAGAACAACAGACTTTAACAAATGTCACATCTTTTTAATAGTTTTTGTCAAAATAATCACGATGGGACTTTTCATACAGCCCTAATTCAAACTCAGCATTGACATTTTCAAAACAGCACAATCTGCCCTTGTTTAAACACAGTTATCCAAGTTATCCATATCTAAAAACAAACCCATCTATGATACAATTTCCCAACTTATTTAACTAACTTATTCAGCTAACTAATTTTAGACTGCCAAGAATAATAGGAGCAGTTAGCTGCTAGTATTCTCAGAGGTGTGTTCCAATGAGTGACACAGTGGCTGGAAATGTATTAAAACGACCAAATATCTTTGAAGTAATCACTGTTGTCCTTGAAAATTTGGATTGCATTTTAGCCTTTGTTGCAGCCAAATTAATGCTAAAGTGAGAGGAAAATTGCAGTCAGTTTAGACATCTGTGGTGAGAACAAGCTGGAGTGACACATTTAACTGACAAGTAGGACTACTATACGTATATATATATATACGTATATGTTCATGATATATGAATATTTTAGTTCCTGTCCTGTGTTCGAGTAAAGTATATAGATCAAACATGAAGCCAGAATGTAAACCTAAAAGTCAATAATAAGTCTTATTAAAACCTAAAGTTATTATTAATGGTCCACACTGTGATGCTTTTGATACTTTCTGAGATATCACGTTTTGTTTTTTGTTTTTTTGTAAATGGTAAAGAATAGTGTGTTTCTGTGTATTTTCAGGACATTCTCTCACAACATGCTGGCGTTTGGGCTCAGTAAGAAGCTCTGCAATGACTTCCTGAAGAAGCAGGCAGTGATTGGGAACCTGAATGAAGGTAAAGCACTAAAGGAATAATTCAACCTTAAACACTAGAACAGTGTCTGCTCTCAGCCTATTTACTTAGTTAATACTTTATAAAGCGTGTAAGGGAATCACTAACTCTCTTTTACTCACGTTTTTCAAGCTACAGGCTTTCCACCAGGGAGAACTGATCATTGTCAAGCCATGTCTCGGCTGATAGTAAAGGAAAGTAATACGTTTGCTTGAAAGGTGTGTGCGAAATCGATAACCAGCGATCGTCGCACAATGTATGCCGGTTAGATTTGTGTCCAACTGGATCCCGACAACGTTAACCTCACAAGATCGAGGCGACCGCAGTTTATTTATATATCTGAACGTGATCTAAAAACTACAGGTAGCCTACAGATGATCCAACAGAATGTACATTTTTCTGTGACTTGTGACCTGTATATTCTTTGACCACAACTGTCCGACTGGCCTGCAGCATTTTATCCCCTTTTCCTGCTGCTGCTGCCTTATCTCATCCACTTTCCAGATGAGGCACAGTTCATCTCGAACGAGCCTATCAGCAGCAGTTGTTTATAGCTGCAGATATGTAGACACGTCAATGTCGCCACCTGCTGACAAAGGAAGAAATTTGCTTCAATCTGAAAACGTTTGCCATCTGCTGGCAATGACTTGCTTGGAACATGGTGCAGAAGAAGAACTTCACAAATTGGCAGATAGGTTTCCAATTTCAAAGCTCATTCTTGGCAACTCCCAATAGCAGCAGTAGGTAGTTTATAAATTACAATAAAACCCAGAAATCCGTAAGATCTCACAGAACACTCACTTTATTCATCCTGGTTTCCAGTGTTTTATATATTGACATTATAATTAGTGGACAGAGCATCCTGGTCTGTGTATTGAAGCCGACACCGTAGTATCTTAAACCTGCATTCTTTCTAGTGGCTCAGATCAAACAAGGCAGTGCTGATCAGATATGAATCCAGATTATGTTACTGCGTTGCCTATTTCTCACTTTAAATCTTTTCAGACGTATTTTAGCGCACTGTTTAGCTGTAATACAAGAATGTGTGTGACCAGGTCACCATTGTTTCCTTCTGCGGACGAGTCAAAAGTAAGCGCAAGCATTGAGTCATCTTCAAAAAAACTACATGGTGACGGCCATAATGCCAAACTCAATGCTTCAAAGCGGTACTTCACAAATCAATGGGAGACATCACAATAGGTTCACACTTGGTTTTATACCTAAGTGATCAGAGCCTGATTGCAGCCTTTTTACACCTGGTATTAGCATACGATCTGTATATAGATCTCTTATTTTGATTTGAATATAGTCTTGTCAATGTAGGTGGAAATGCACACAAACACTTTGCAATTGGAATGTGATTGGATCGACCAGACCACATCTGGAAGTGACTCACGGTACTATTGGATCACCGGCAGGTCTGTGTCCCGCATTGTTGACAAGTCTGCCAGCTCCAACTACCTAGTTTGCACACTCAGATCCGATCGCAGTGCAGATACAAACTGCATGTCACTACCAGGTGGAAAATGGGGTCTTAGTCTTGTTACATAAAACCCTAATGCAGCTTCAGAACAATATGTGTCTGTGTTTCACCCCTTTGCAGAACAGTACAAGTTGCTGAGTGACCACATAGAGAAAATGGCAGCAGAGTGAGTTTGAGGACAGCAGACTGCATTTCAAATTTCCACACAACAGACTGACAGCACACAAACATCAGCGATTTCTTTTCAACTCAACATCACAGTGACCAACTCTCCGTCTGACTGCGTTTGTGTGGTGCGCTGCTGAAACCATCACCCGCTGTACTGAACTGTGCCATATTGTAGCAAACCCTGTTTATCCAACTTAGTGCTCCTGTATCAGCAATAATACAACGCCATCAGCTGGTGCATACTTTAATATCTCTAACACCTCTGTTTGTGACCTGCTTTACAAAGACTAGCAGCATAAAGAGAAACCATCCAGTATAAACCGCCTCAGTGTCACTCTGGATTTATACTTCTTATTATATACATTGTGTGTAGATTATATATCCTCTATGCTGTTTTATTCTGTGTTTCCTTGGTAACCATATTTATTATATGTTGGTTCGTTGTTGAAACTGTGCTAGTATCGTCGCTAGTATCGTCCTGCCTTATTACATTTTCTGTAAATGTCTATATACAGTTCAAACCAGACCTGGATACAGTGTAATAGTACATGGCAATAATAACTCTACCCTATTCAGGTGGGTCAGGTCAGTTTTCAATCAGAAAAACTTTGATTTAATTTAATCATGGGTTTTTAAAATGGCAAAAACAGCAACCCTCCATGCCTCTTCTTAAAGAAAAAGTTTAATATTTGGAGAAAAACATGTTCTTGTTGAGTTAGACAAGAACATTATACCACTCTCATGTCTATACATGAAGCTACAGCAATGAAACAGTTAGCTTAGCTTAGCATAAAGCCTGGAACAAAGGGAAACTGCTAGCCTGGCTCCACCCAAAGGAAACAAAATCCACCTAGCAGCACCTCTAAAGCTCGACAATTAACACATATTTTGTTTGTTTAATCCATAATAAATTTTTGGCAGACAAAGGACATCCCTAAAATCCTTCATCCAGTTCAAA